GTATAACTGTGTCATGTTGTGTGTCTGTCTGTCATGGTGTATGTGTCCATCATGGTATGTGTGTGTGTCATGGTATGCACGTGTGTGTGTTTGTCAGCATGTGTGTATGTGTCTGTCATGATGTGTGTGTTTAGGTGACCAGACCCCTTCTATTCGCAAGGGAATAGTGTTTTTACTCACCTTTTTTTTTTTTTTTTTACGCCGAGCTAGTCTCGACTGGCCCTGCCTCTATGGCTGAGATTATCAAGCTTACTCAGCATCTCCTCATAGATATGCATTAAATCAATGCATTTCTATGGGGAACATTCAGCACCTCCATGGAGACACTGAATGTAGGTGCTGCACAGACACAAGAAGCACCTCTAGTGACCGTCTGAGTGACGGTCATTAGAGGTGTCCCTAGGAAACAATGTAAACACTGCCGTTTACATTAAAAAGTCTGCAGGGACAGGCTACAGACACTAAAACCAGTACATTAAGCTGTAGTGGTCCTGGTGACTATAGTGTCCCTTTAAGAATTGTATTTTATCATTGAATATAAAGCTTTGTAAGTTTAAAAAAATACCTGGCTCCTAACTTTTTTAGCTGGCTCCTAGATTCAAAATACATTTGTCAAGCCCTGGTTTATTGTATTTGTTCTGGTGAGTAGAATCATTACCTTCATTCTTTTTGCAGTAAACACTACTTTTCAGAGAAAATGCAGTGTTTGCATTACAGCCGAGTGATAACTTCACTGGCCACTCCTCATATAGCTGCTAGAGGTGCTTCCTGGGACAGTGCTGTACACTGTGCAGCACTTCCATTTAATGTCTCCATCCTCTGCATGGAGACACTAAACTTTCCTCGTAGAGATTCATTGAATCAATGCATCTCTATGAGGAGATGCCAATTGGCCAGGGCTGTGTTTAGCTTGTGCTGGCTCTGTCCCTGATCTACCTCCTGGATAGTCTCAGCCAATTCTTTAGGAAATCACAAAAAATAACTGCAAGCAGTTATGAAACATGGCGCACCGGAAGTGAGACCAAATGGAAGTGCCAGAAGAGAAGTGACGGGAAATACCGGAAGAGACGGAGTACACCGAATCAACAGGTGAAGCTGTTCAACAAATCCAAAGGAGGTATATGATTTGGAATATCTGACACCAGAACTTATTCAGGAATGAAGAAGACTAAAGGACAGTCAAAAGGTGTTTGCTACTTACGGATAAGGACTTTTTCTATTTTTATGCTGTAGTGTATACTATCATTGGTTGTTTGTATTACACACTGCTTAAAATAGTCCTTTATTTCTTATTTAACTTTGAACCTTTTAACAATAAACATTTGGAAGAATTATTTCACCTTTGGTGGCTGCTGAATATCAGAGGCCAGTAGTGGCACCCAGAAGTCCACTATATAGAGCCTGGCACAGCTCTGCCTTTTGTGAGTGCTATTCATACCATTAGTCACTTATATGTTAATATGAATTACACTATGTGCATTTGTACTGTTTTTATTATAGATTCCTGTTCTTATTAACCTTAGTATTAGTAACTGGAAATTCTGCATTCCATTTTAGAGAAGTATAATTTGTGCATCCACGTGGTGGTCTGTGTACCAGTTGTTGTAACTTGTATTTCTTGTTATATTAATTCTATGGGAAAGCATTGTGTTTGTCTCAGAGAATCACTTCTGATGATGTCAGCCAAGCAGGCAGATCAGGGGCAACAGGTGCTGACTTTAATAAAAGATTTTACTACATTTATGGGGGAGATGGGGGATGAGGAGGGGCAGACAGATGGTGGTTTTAACACTCTAGGGTAAGGAATACATGTTTGTGTTCCTGAACCTATAGTGTTTTTTTTGCAAAAATATTTGGTTCAAGCAAACAAATATGTTTCCCAGGTATTAAGATTTCCTGGGGCATGGCCTGCCAAATAATGGAGTAGGATGCTGTTCACTGAGGGTTTGCGATCTCAGCCCACATAGCCCCTTAACACAGCTCGCCCACTGCATAAAATTGGGAAAACCCGATGCAGGGTAACCCCTGGACCTTCTGGCTCTGGTTCCCCAAGACAGGCAACAGGCCCCATAGATGCTTATATATCAACAACAGACAGCCTCGGACACTCACGGCAATCAGACAAGATGGCGCTGGCCTCCCCGGGCTCTGACAGCAACTGCCGGGGTCCTCACGGAGCGAAGCCTTGACACAGATTTTGGCGAAACTAGCAGCAATATATCCGCCAACTTGCTCACCAGAGCAATAATAATGCCTTAGTGACAGAATTGTGGACAATGATTAGGGAGGAGATATTACAGGTACGCAGGGATAAGTGAGAGAGAGTGTGAGTGAGCGAGTGTGTGTTTTTTGTTTGTTTTTTTTCTGTTCGGGTGGGAGTGTGGGACGCATCAATGCCGTGAAGATGGAAGTCTTTCCCCGACTCTTATACCTGTTTCACACGATACCGATAACAGTCCTCCGGATATTCTTTCAGTCAGTGACCACTGCCATCAGAAGAATGGTATGGAACCAAAAGGAGCCTAGGATCGGTACATTCCTACTGGAATTACCCAAAGCCCAGGGAGGCATCGACCTCCCCTCAATTATTGGGTATTACCACTCCGCACATCTCCTCAGAGTGATAGACTGGCATGCTCACCCAACCACTAAAACATGGGTACACTCAAGAGGATTCAAGCCACAGAAAAGATCCCATCTCTACTCTGGAACAGCAACCTAACACTCCGTTCCCTGCGAACGGGCAACCCCTTAATTGACGCCACACTTTATCTGGTGCTCCCTATGTTACAAACAGCAACTGACCACATCCCCTAACCCCCTCACACCCAACACCCACAACCCGTACCTGGGAGTGGGCCTATCCCCTGTAGACCTACACACTTTCCAGACAGACTTGTCATACATATGCCAATGGTGTGACGACGGTCACCTCAAATCCATGGCAGCTATGCTCCCTGACACCACCCCAACAGGACTAGACCAATACCACCAAATCAAGAGCTTCTATACGACCACCCCCTACAAGTGTCTCTTACATAGGGACCTCACACAATTTGAGTCGCTATGTACATCCAGACAGCACACAGCCAGAGGCATATCCATGCTCTACACAATGCTACACCACGCTTCACATGTGGTGGACCTGCCCGATTATAGCCCCCTTCTGGACGATGGTGAACTCTAAGACCGAAGAGATCACGGACTTGGATCTGCCACTCCAGCCTCTCCCCATGCTGCTACACCACACAAAAATTCCCTGACGGCTGCAAAATCCCTCATTCCCGCGCTCTGGAAGCAGATGGGTGCGCCATCCTTCCAGCAATGGGTAGACCACGTGGGAGAGATTTACTCCATGGAATCATTGACCACAGCCCTACAAGGTCGCTCAGACAGTAATGTGAATACCTGGACTGCATGGCTGGTGTATATATCCATCAACATAACAAACCATTGAATCTCCTATCCTGTGACTATGGGCGCTGCAATATACCTTGCCCAATACACTTTAAAAGGCTCCATTCATGTAATGTAAGTACTTTTGTACTCCACAAAAAGAGACCGACCGCTGGCCCTAATTCCCTGGAACTGTTTTGGGCATGAAGCCATGCTTGCAGCCGGTCAAAAAGAGACTTCCATGAAACTATTGAACCCCTGCTCTGATCTGGGTGATTTTTGGATATGTTGTTCAGCCCGGTCAGGGCTATCCAGGGATTTATGTTATGATTTAGGGTACTTTTTGAACTTTGTGAAAATTTGTTTTCTCTGCTTGGAGATAATTGAGTTACTTACAGGACTTTACTCAATTATCTCCCAAGCAGAGGGGAGGGATTGTGTGCTGTACATGGGGTGTCACAGACTGTATGTTTGTTCCGATTGGTTTATGTCCTTTGTGTTTCTGTGCCCCATCAGGTCCAGGGGGTGTTCCTCTGGCCTGGAGAATTGCATAAAAGAGTGGGTGAAGGAGCACGAGCACCGGGTACAGCAGGAGCTTTGGCTAACTATGGTGGTATACGGTTCAGCAGACCCCCTGGACGGACGAGCACGACTGGCCCGAAGGGGACGATTTCGTTGGCCGGGTCTCGTTTGGGATGCCCTGGAGGAAGACATTGATTTCGTCAGCACGGAGGAGTCTAGATTTTGGGACATCTATGACTAGAGTGGGCATGCATGTTTGGGCTGATGCCAGCGCGGTGAGACGAGACATGATCCACCTGGTAACAATGGAGTGGGAGCTGGAGCAGAAATACCAACACCTGCTCAGCTCAATTTGGCCCCAATCTACCTGCCAGGCAGAACCAGATCTACAACCCTTCAGCTGGGAAGACCTGGCTGAGGTACCCCCTGCTTCCCTACCAGCTAACAAAGGGGGGATCCTCATAGACTGGTCCTGGGAAGATCTCCAGATGGCAGGTAGAGATGGGACCAAGGTCTCTCCACCGGCCCTACAGGGATGCTGGCCCAGATCCCCAGCTACAGCCAGAGTTACCGGGAGAAGAGACAGTCAGTCTCAAAGGAAATGCACACCCAACTTCTGGTACTGCCACTATATAAGGGAAAAAATATTTAATTTATGTTTTCATTATGGTCTACAAGGGCAATTATTTCTGTAAGTAGCTAATGTAACCTACTAAAGCAACATTGGGCATACATACAGATCAGCTGACTCCAGTTGTGTACACACCTATATTTTGGCCAGGGCTCTCATATGTTTGAATTTGCCATGCCGAGTGCTTCGAGACAAATACATGAAAACATGTTTATAGTGACTGGATGGTGTGAACAAGGTTGGTTACTTTTTAAGCTCCATTAAATAAAAAATAAACGCTCCAAGAACAACCACTACAGTACACGGGCACACCCCCCTCCTCCATCACCCCCGTAAACAATTCGTTTTAGAACGGTTTAACAAATTCAAAGATCTTACCATAAAATGCAGACTGGAAATGCAAATTTTTTTTTTTTTTTTTTTTTAAATTCTTTATTTTTCACAAAAAGAAGTGCATATATGTGACCCTGTATAGGCTTACGCAGAAGCCATAAAAGAGGGGCATATTTATGATGCTGTGTAGGCTTGCACAGAAGCCGCAGTACGTTTTCAGATGGGTCAATTATACATAAGAGATGAATGTTACATCATGTTTAGTTGTATGCTTATTACCGTTTCTATTTTGTTCTGTAGACCATCTGACGCCCTGTGGCTTGTTAGGGCAGCTCCACATGAGTTGCCTGATAGAGCTCGCTGTGAGGTCACGTGTCACTTCAATTGGTGTATTTTTATACAATTGATAGCTAAAGGTAACATAACGAACATGAAAAAGTCATACATTAACCAAAACTTTATAATCGTTGTTGTCTGTGATACTGTGAGTTGGCGTGTCAGCTTCCACAGCTCGGACGAGGATCATCGTGTGCGCTTTGGTCTTTAGCCCTGAGTGTGTGTTCGGTTCCCCTGTCCACTCTCCCTATTCTCCTGGTATTGTTCCCATAGTTCCCATGTCCTGCCAAATCTTTTGGTGGTGTGCCTGGCCAGGGAGGTTAACCTGTCCATTTGGTAGTTATCCTTTATCTTAGCTATCACTAGTGCCATGGGGGGCGTTTCCGGGCAGAGCCATTTCTGCGCTAGTGCCCTTCGGGCCGCCAGGTAAATCATGTTTAACAGTTGTTGCTCTGGGCGTAGGAGGCCATCTGTTGGCCTGGAGAGGAGACCGGCCCAGGGGTCTAACCGTAGAGGCCTCTGCAATATGTTCGAGCTTAGGTTGGTGATTCGAACCCAATAAGCCTGTACTGAGGGGCATTTCCACCACATGTGCACATATGTGCCTTGTTCCCCGCACCCGTGCCAACAGAGATCAGTGGGAGTGATCTGCATGCGCAATTGTTTTAGTGGAGTAATGTACCATCTGAAAAGCGTTTTGAATGATTGCTCTTGGAGGGTGACACATATGGATGATCGTGCTGTGACCTTACATATGTCCTGCCAGTCTGAGCCCTCCAGTGTCTGCCTCCCATTGGTCCGTGTATCGGAGCTCCCCCCACTCTTTGGCTTCCCCGCTAAGGTGTGAGTATAGTAATGAGATAAGTCCCTTGGGGTGTTTTTCTTGATAGCAAATGTTCTCAAACCAGGTGATGGGGAGGGTGGCCGTCTCCTTGACTTCTTTGGAGCTAGCAAAATCTCGTATCTGTATGTAGCGGAAAAAGTCCCTGTTTGTTAGGGGGGGATTGTGTTCTGAGCTGATCGTATGTGACTACTTGACCGTTTTTGTAAAGGTGGCAGTATCTATGGATACTTGCCTTCTCCAGGCCCCTAAAGGGTCAGATTTTTTTCCCCATGGGAAAGATTTGATTCAATGCTTTCCTAGGGACATTAGACCCCGCTCGTTGGGGGACGGAACCTCAACCCAGTGCCTAGGGACATCGGCGCTGGGATAAGGTAAGTAAATAAAGGGTTTTTAACTCGTTGTTTACCAGGGTGGTGCAAGGGAGAGGGAAGGCAGAGTAATCAGTAGTGCCAGGAATACAGTTTTGTATTCCTGGCTCTATAGCATCCCTTTAACGAAGTAGGGACATTTAGTGCAAAGAACGGGAACTGAATGTGTCTTTTACATATATTATTTAGATGTTCTACACCTTACTTTCACTTTCCTACCAGTCCTCCCCACATATTGCACACCACAACCACATGTGATCAGGAACACTACATGTGTGGAAGAACTATAAACTTCATTTTAAAAAGTTTCCAGAGTTTTAGCGCTATTTATTTCCCTAAAAACTATATGTCTACAGCTTTTACAATTGCAACAGGTATAAAATCCTACATTCCATTTTATCTCCGGTTTCTTTCATACGAAATTTACTTGGGGCCCAAGATATTCTTAATATTGTTACCCTTTTTAAAAAATAGTTTTCATAATTTGAGGTATTCTTGTTTTCTAATTCATCCTCCAAGAGGAGCGACTATCAAAGGCTTTATAATGATTTAGTGGGTTAAAACCCTGAATTATCTGCTGAAATCTTATTTTGGAGAAAATCTTATCTTTATATCTTATCTTTGGAATTTCTGTATCTAAAACCTCTTCTGAATTCCCTCTCTAAAAAAAAAATCTAACATGGGGTTCCATAAAGTCGATTAGCCAAGATTCAGAGAAATTGTACAGACAGGTAACAAAATTTTAGACAAGTGGAAGTTTTAAAAACGAGATTTTTATACAATGGTCTTGGTGCTTGAAATGTTATTGTAAAATTGCTTTTACCTCCATATCCACGCATGTTACCGGGAAACTGACGGAGGCCAAGCACAGAGAGATGGACACAGGTTTCTTCAGGAAGGAAGAGATCTTTATTCGATTCACCGACCGGGACTCAGAGGGACTTATGTCACCAAAAACAGCAAAGATCTGAGCACTGAATACATAGAGTACATTCCTTATATAGCACTGTAGCTCCTCCCATAATTAGCTACGCCCACACATACCCTTAACCTAATCAATGAATAGAGTCTAAACTCATCCATCCGGTCTAACCACGTGGCTCATCTGAAACAAAGGAGAGGGACGCGTAATTCCAGTTCCTGCATTCCTGCACATGCTCAGTACAGTGATGACAGTATCTTAGCTACGTGTAACTAACTAACTGATACTACAAACACATGTACCTACATATGCCTTGTGGCAATCTTGGCCTGCTAAACTTTTATTTTACTGGAATTCCATCACACGCATGCATCAATTTTACGATTTACCAAAGGTAGAAAGTAGTTTGATCAGTAAGTCTGAATGTCGGCATGTCACTACAGAGAACTTTTTGATGGTTGGTGGATTGTATAACATTGGAAGCAAATAATGCATATACATATAAAAGCACAGTTTTATTTCAAGACCCGGAGGCTCGTTATGCATATCAATGTGTATATATTGTTTTGCAAAGAAACTTACACTTGTGTAAGTTGTCAATTTTACACTTATTCTTTCACCCTTCATAAAAATATTTTGAAAACTAAAAGCTTTAGATCTTTATTTTGCAATATTTCACACAGGGTCTGAAATGTTTGCATAAAGGCAAATATTTAATTTCTCACATAACATGTGTGACAAATTAAAATGGTGAAATACCTTGCGCTTTCTAGGTAGTTGCAAGAAGCCTGAATTGATTACTAGCGGTACAAAAAAAGTAAAAAAAAAAAAAAGTCTGCATTTGAGCATAATGCCCATAGATAAATAATTTACAATTGCTGTCACAACCTCCAGAATGCTGGTGTCTATTCAACCCCCATATTCCCTGTGGAAACATACTGACCAATTCTTGAAACATCCTTGACTGTACAGAAGTAGAAGTTAGGCAGACATTTTCAGCACTTTTGCAGACATATCAGTGACTTGTAGCAGAAAAATGTGTTCCACTACAGGTGAGTAACCATTCCTAGATTAAAAATGAGTGTGAAGGGCCAGATTTACATCACTAATACCTGAAGGAATAGAAATATATACATTTTAGTCTCAAGTTGCACCCTCCCATCTGTCAGATCGATCTTGCTTTCTGTTATAAAAGGAACCGATTTGTTCTGAACATACTCACTCTTACATATACTATAGTATATAGTTCTATGACAAATACTTAACCAAACAACAAGCTTTCTCAACCTTTCAAAAGACACAATGGCTTTAGTTTCTACATTTTTTTATTGGGTTTATAATTTGACCATCACAAAGAAAAAAAAAAAAAAAAAACAGCATATCACAGCACAAAGAGCACATGTGTAGGAGAGAGAAGTCATCGGGCCACACCAGCAGGAGAAGGTGAGGAATCCCATCCTTTATTTAGTATCTTTAACTGCTCCCTGGCAATGATATGATTAATGCTTTACACTCCCAATGATTGCTTTAAGGAGTGACTATTACTTCCTTTCCCATTGTAATGGACAAGAAGGAGAAAGCTTTTACCAAGAATCAAGACAATCTTTTTCCTTCATTTGGTCACAAACACTGTGAGGTCAGGAACCACACAGAGGATTAAACACATTGCAATAGAGCAATGAGTCCACTTTCCAGCCATAGACAAGAATGCCAGAGAGCACAGCTGCTCCTTCCTGTCACTCTTCTGGAGATGCTCTGTTGGTCTGTGGCAGTGCTCACAGCTCTAATGAGAGAAATACTTGGGGACACAAAACAGGACGCTATAGTAAGAGAAGGGGGTAGTATGGACAGCGTGCGGGGTGCACTACACTATTTAGGAATACTATCTGCCAGCAATATTCACAGACTTACGGAGTTAACAGAACACCTCTAGCACCATAAATACTAGTTTGTTGTAATGGTTATAATGTAAGGTGGCAGTGGGTGAAGTCCCTATACGCACAAAATAATTCAGCATTAACATCAGTTTTGTCACACCAAAAGGGGTTAATGACAACGAATAGGCACAACATGTGCTCATTCTATATTTTGGGCATTCTCAGTAAGGAGAGTGCTTTAAGTGCTGAGAAATTGCAGTGTGAGGAACTGGGGGGTAGGAGAGAGGAGGGGAGAGAGACTTCTCATTACCTCCTTGCACCATAATTACAATAAGCAATGTAGAATATAGTGCTTGAAGCATTCCCGTAAAATAATGTAAGTGCAGCTGCATGTGAAGGGTATTTTGAAGACAACGCAGCAAGACAGGAGATCCCACATCAGTAAGAGACCCCTAGTATTCATAGTAAATCCTTCCAGTTCTGAAGCAGCCTTGAAAGCATCAGTACTAGGATGGATTATGCAGCTCTGTGGCAAGAATGATCGGGCGGAAGAAGCAGGACAAGGAATGAGCATCTTTAAACCATCCACCACAGAAAGTAGAAGACAAGCTCTCTCCTTTCTGTTTAAGGTCCACGTTCTGACCTTATTTTACCAAGAATGTTATATTGGGAGGAAGGTTTAGCGAGGGAAGTTGCTCTCTCCCCTCAGAGCATTGCTGCATTAACATCGTGTCTCATAGATTCCACTTCTGCCAATATAGCGAACCCATTTAATAACATCATGGTCACTGTAGTTCAGCTTCGGTTCAAATACCTTCAGGTATCGAACTTTCAGACCGGACGGAGCAAAGGGGACCTAGAGAAAAAAAGATATTACAAGTTAGGTAGCCATAACATCACATCAATATTTTTTTGTGATCACAAAGCATGGGCAACAAAAAAATAAAATAAAACCTTCTCAAAGGCCAAGAACCCTCCCCAGTAATTTGAGAATAGCGGGAGGGGGTGAATTTTTTTTACAATTTAAATATAGCTTACCTGAAACCATGAGAATGGAGTACACAGTAATCAGTGCAAAACTGAAGGAAAAATAATGTGGAAGTAGATAAAAACTATAAAACTTTGGAATGTTCTAAACTAGAAAAATTATTTTTACAGGACCCGGGACGTAAAGGGCTGCTGTCTCTATGTTAATTATATAACACCGAACCCTCTTGTAAATCAGGACACTTCATGGGAGAAGGAGCTAGGCACGCAATATCGTCTAGAGCAGTGGTTCCCAACCCAGTCCTGGATTTTGGGATTACCCAGTTGTGTCTAAAAACACAACCGGGTAATCCCTAAATCCTGTTCTGTTAGGGGGTACTTGAGGACTGTGTTAGGAACCACTGGTCTAGAGGAATGGTTCAACTTTTTTACAGCTCTTAAAAGGTATTACGTATTGCACAAACCATTTTAAGAATCACTATAAGCTCCTATATCGATGGTATCTTGGCCACATTTTAATTGCTGCTACATCTTGCTTACCACGTTACTGGAAATCACCTCATGCCCCCAACAATCAAATAAATTTTAAATTTGGTTTTGGAAAATAAAATGCATGAAATGTCATGTGGACAAAGTTCTAGTTTATTTGTACAACTTCAATTTAGTTGGGATCAATAGGAAAAGAATGTTAAAAAATCATATGATATTTTTCCTTTCTGTACCCCTCAGAACCTCTGTTTTCCGACAAAATAAAAATTGTCAAATTGAAAAAAATCATATGATATTTAATTGTCAGTCATTCTAATTGCGTTCTCTTATTGTCAGCAGTGTAGAATATTTCAAATGCTCTTCCTGCTTTCTGTAAAAACCCACAAGACAATGGCTAGGTAACATTCCGCTAAAACCCATTCCAAACATTCTGTGCAGTGTTTAAAATAGCTATAGTATTTAAAAATGATTAAAATAGGAACTTATCAATTGACAGGAAGTCAAGTACACGTTGGGAAACATCAACACAACAAATTACAGTGTTAAAAATGAAGCCAAACATAACCTGTTTTTTTTTCCCCTTACACTGTCCTCCACACAAAATGTGCTCACCTCAAAGTTCATGGAAATAGGGGGACGTGCCCACTTCTTTTTATCATTGGTTGGCAGGAGTTCAATCTCGGCACTTATCTGAGATTCCTTCATTCCTGCCATGCGTTTTATTCTGGTTAAGGGAAAAAAGTGAGAGGGGGTATTTAAATCTCACATGCAACAAGTCCATACATGCCAACCCAGAAACAGGATTACTTCCCCTAAATTCACAACTTGCAGATTTAGATAGGTAGATCATTTTTAATACTAACAGGTCAAATATTAGGCAGCCGCTGTGGGAGAAGTGTCAAGGTACATATTTAGAAATTGCAGCAATAATGAAGCCTTATTCAACAAATGACCGTTCTAATAACGTATTTCAACAAATGCACTGAAAAGCTTTAGATTATAAAGAGTGATTAATCTGGGAAGTGGCTACAAGAGCAAGAGTATAAACTGCCTGAAAATTAGAAGTTCAAAACACAGTTGCAACTCACTCAAGTTTCAGTTATGAATTTTTTTAAAACCAAGCTACAAGTGGACCAGACTTGACAAAAGTACTATAGTGCCAAAAACGTTATTGGGCTCACAAATGGCCTGGTTTAATAAATTGACTCACTGAGGGTTGTGGCAGGCAGAAGCCCACATCTCCAGCATGGGATCAAATTAATGTCTTTTACTAATTTCAAAAGAAGAGGATATAAGAACCTCGGGAACAGGTAAAAGCTTAGAGAAACTCAGTAGCTTGTCCTTTGGTGTGTTCCCGCTTAGATCTCAAAATGTTTTTACTCACTTCTACCATCACAAAGAGAACCAATACCATTTGCATATCAGATTGATCCCACCCACAGGGGCAGCCCAGACCTGAAATGCTGACAAGCTCTCTTTGCACAAAAGATGCATCACCCCCACAACAGTTTTTCAGCCTTCTTTGGACCTAGTCAGCCAGTCGTGGACCCCGTGCGCCTATAGTGGCATCAGCTACACCTCGAAAACCATTGCCCAGGGTTCTTGTATCTTGTCTGCATCTCGGTTCTGCACTGCCCTTATGAGTGGGATCAGTCTGAAATGCAAATGGTATATGCTTCCCTTTGCAATGGAAAACATGTAAGTGAGCAAACATGTTGAGACCTGAACTATAACAAAAGAATAAGCAGTCCGATACAATTGCTGCAGTTCACCAACAAGGAGTTTCCCCATCCTTGTGAAGTACAAATAAATACAATCAAAAACAAGGTGAACAGTGCTGAAATTTCAAATTACATACGTAACAGGAGATGTCAATTTCCAAGAATATGTCACTTAAAACAAAAAGATGAAATAATAGTGCAGCGTAATGACAATAGTGCAGTATAGCTCACGCTTTATAGAGCTATATAAGCTCTATTTCATGGGGCTTGACAGTATAATCCCCATCTAAGGATATCTTTATCCCCTTAGTGACCAGACCGCTTTTCAATTTTCTTGGGCTGTTTTTACATTTCTGCAGTGTTTGTGTTTAGCTGTAATTTTCCTCTTACTCGTTTACTGTACCCACACATTATATACTGTTTTTCTCGCCATTAAATTGTCTTTCTAAAGATATAATTTTCATCATATAATTTACTATAAAAAAATAATTCTAGAATATGAAAAAAAAAAAAAAAACACACTTTCTAACTTTGACCCCCAAAATCTGTTACGCATCTACAACCACCAAAAAACACCTGTGCTGAATAGTTTCTAAATTTTGTCTTGAGTTTAGAAATTCCCAATGTTAACATGTAATTGGCTTTTTTGTGGAAAGTTATAGGGCTATAAGCACAAGTAGCACTTTGCTATTTCCAAACCATTTTTTTTCCTCAAAATGAGCGCAAGTTACATTGTAACACGTCTTTTAGGAATCCCTGAATAACCCTTCACATTTATATATATATTTTTTTAAAAGACGACAACCTAAGGTATTAAACTTGAGGTATTTTGACTTTTCATGCAACCATTTCACCACCAATCTATGCCAAATTTAAAATGAATAAATTAATTGGTGATTTTTGACACACACAGCAATTTAAGAATACATGTATGGAGAATTTTAAGGTTCAAAAGAACACCCCAATATGTGTTTAGCAACATCTCCTTAATACAGTGATACCCCCATGTATAGGTGTGCTGGATTCTCTGGGAGCTAAAAGACCAAGGGTGTGCATTCCAGTTTTCCAACTTGGAATTTTCACAGCTGGTCATCATGCACCCATGTCCTATTTGTGCCATTTATGAAGCCGGTCAATGTAATTTACCCCAATCAAACCATATATTTTTGAAAAGTAAACAACCCAGGTATTCAATATGGGGGTAATCCGGTCTTGTTTTGTAGCCAGTCACAAACACTGGCCAAACTTTGCATTTTTAAAACACAAATATAAATGCTAACAATAATGAATGCTAACTTTGGCTACTAAAAAAGACTGGACATATCCCATTTGCAATACCTTGGGTTGTCTTCTTTTGCAAATGGTATGCCATCATGGGAGTAATTCTCATTCCTGGGCTGCCATACGCTCTCAAAGGCAACATAACCAATCTGACAAATTTCAAATGTGAAAAAACGGCCTTATTTGAAATTACATTTTATTTTTAATTTATTATTTTTTATAAATATATATACATACACACTTACTCTAAGTGTATTTTTTTATATATGTATATAAGAATAATAATATACTTATATATGTAAAGGATCCTTCTATTCGTGCAGCGATGATCCTTGCAGCTTCTCCCGAAATAAAGCTGAAACGAAGTGATTATAACTCCCAATACCCCAAACATGAGTCGAGACTTCATGAAGGGGTAAAACGATCTGATTTACTGTGGGCTACTCGCCCGATATTTATGCAGGTCTCCCACCTGGTGGACACTCCCCTAGGGGACCAGATGGAAGACTGGGACAAAAGTATCACAGTAGCCAATCACTGTGGCTATAGCATAAGCACTCCCCTTTTACATAAATCACTCCCTCTTTTCCATCCTGGAGATAATTAACTTAAGGTAGCAAAGAGAGCCTTAATTATCTCCAGGTAGAAAGAAACATGGCTTTTATTTTAGCAAAACAGCATAAAAATCTATAACTTTCCTTTTACATAACATAAACTTTAAGTCCCACATATCCCCAGATAGCTTGGATCCGAGTGCATATTCTAGGCGAATAGCGCTCAAATCCTACGAACACAGTTCTCAGAAACGTCGACTGAAGCTTGGCTTTCGCCAGCCGTTCGTGTGTTTGTAGCCGACTACAAGTTCCATACTGTAGCTATCTGGGGTCGGTCACTTTTGCATACTTCCAGTGCACGAATGAAGTATCTCCTTCATTTGTGTGTTTTTCCACCGTACGAACGAGGATTTGAAGAGGTAGCAGCGGTGTACGACAAAATAAGTAGCCGAAATTAGTTCCAGGGAATCCTCGCCATTTACCGCTGAGTGTTCGACAATACAAAATGGCGATTGCCACGTGTTCCGTAAACGAACGCAGACCACCAGCTATTCCCCAATTAGTCTGTGGTTAACCGCAACAGTCTGGGTGGTTAATAGGCGCCACACAACCTCAGTGGGAGGTCGGGTGGTTCGGTAGTTCATTCGCTTTTCTCGCTCTTTGCACGAAATCCCGCTGTAATCATCCAAATAACCAAACAGGCTGGTTCGTATGGTCTGTTTAATAAGGGATTTAGTTACAATATATACATACTTTATGAACATTAATATTTTATTTTAAACACTTTTTTTTTTTTTTACTTTTTTCACCAGCAAGGGGAATGCCTGTCAATTCAGACATTCCCCTGCTGGCAGCACTATGGACACCTATTGCGGCCATGTAACCTGGCCCCTGGGGGTCCTAATTTGCAGAGGGGGAACGGGTTGATAGTCGCCCATAAAAGAACACTGATCGCTGGCGGGGGAACGGTGGCGATGGGTCAGTACATATAGAGAGGGAAGGGGTTAAATTTATTGGGGCAACCTGGAAGCGATCGCTCCAGGCGAGCTATCACCCGGCAGTGAGGAGGGGTATCACACAATGCCTCGACATTGAGGCATCGCTGCAATACAGTTAGAGCAGCTGGAAGCGATCATGATCGCATCCAGCACTCTAATTAGCCGCGGACGTATCAGGTACATCCATGGTCCTTAAGGACCATTTTTGGTCAGACATACCAGATATGTTAGAGGTCACTAAGGTGTTAAGATGTCAGCAATGCTTGGTACTTGAGTGGGTGATGGCCAAAAAAAAATTTTTTTTTTTTTTTTAAATCCAATGGACCTGCTCTAGTGTATAAAACTTTAGGTGGAACGATCCCCACCTAGGGATACACATGGACCCAGATCAGCAACCAGAACTGGATGTGAGGCAAGTATATAAAGAGCTGTATATATGTAGTATAGGAGTACTTTATTTTGGGCAGACTAGATGGGCCGAATGGTTCTGCCATCACATTCTATGTTTCTATTAACCCCTTCATGACTGGCGACTAACCATCATGCGCTAAAATTAACCCCAGATCGCTGCGGTGCTGGCAATTGCGGGGTTAACGCTGTTGCTGGGTGCCTCCGAGTTAGGGGCAGACCAGCAACAGTAAATTGCGATGTCCCAGCCCATGTGATCGCTGTGAAAGCCAGTCACAGTGGTCACAATGCTGCTGGGATATCAGATCCGCCTCCCTCCACCTCTTGTGGGTTTGTGAAGTGGGGAGAAATTGATTGTTACATTGTGTCCCTAAAGAGAATAAATTGTCAGTAGAAATTCCAAATCCCCTTTACTGCCAGCAGTGATCAAAATACAGATCACAGTACTTTAATGTGATCTAGGTTTTTTTTTTGCTCACAGGGGTTAAATTTAAATATTTGATTAATTTGTGATTGTTAGTTGAGTGGAATTTAGTGGGAATTGGGGAATTTTAGTGATAAGCTAGTTAGGGGTGAAAAGTGAAAAAAAGTAACGTTTAGTTAAAGTTTATTACCTTAATACATAATGCTTAGGAAGTATAGCGCAGAGGACGCTTATACCCGGTTAGCGGCCGACTCAGAGGCAGCCGACACTGCCTCAGAGAATGACGCAGGGAACAGAGACTGTGCGCCAGATACTGCAGGAGAAATCACAGATTCCAATAATGCTGAACATAGCGCAAATGACTGGTGAAAAATTATTAGGGGGTACCTAGAGTTCACTGCCATTCCTGGCATACAGGCTGACCTGTCTGGCTATAATGCGCTGGATTGTAAGCAGCTTTTCTTGGGAGATGAGATTTTTGGGGAGATAGTCACCCAGACTAATCTGTACGCTGAGCAGTATCTGGCACACAATCAAGAGTCTCATCGTCAGGAAAGAGAGATGGTACCCCACCAGTGTGCCAGAAAGGGGGAAAAGGGAGAGAAAGAGAGAGAGAAATATATAATGCAGACGGCAATCCACAATGCCTTTGTAATTTTTAAAATGGCAAGTGCTGAGCTGAAATGCACGTTTCTATCATTTCAGTTTCCGCTAACTTCTGGGTTGCTTGAGTGCCACAGAGGGGGACCAGCAGTGGGGACTAGCAGAAGAATGGAGGCAGGTCACTTCTACTTTAGGATTCCATCAACCCCCAGAAAAAGTGCAAGGTGTGTTACAAGGACCGATATTACAAGTTTTCTCTCTCTGCATTCTCTCTTTGTGGTCTGTGTTTTGGTTCCGGAATCCGTGACGCGTTGCCCGGGACCCAGATAACTGGGTACTACACCAAACATTCACCCCTTTCACAGCAAATAGTATGCACTTTTTCATAATTTGAATTGATGAGCTACTTATATTTTAAGACAGATGTGGCCTTTGAGAGGTAATATGCAATCATGAGCTGCTAAAATGAGACTTAGGCCCAGCATCCACTTTTGAAAAATATGAAAAGTGGTGTGTCTCAAATGTGCCCCTTTCATATCCACATATACCTAAAAAAGGTACACATGGGAAAATTGTTGTAGTAAGACAACATAGCTGAGCCACATATTAGGTGTTACACTGCCGTAACACACAAGGATTGCAAAATATACAGTAACCTGTAAAAAAAAAAAAGGCAGAAAAATGCTAATTGCTACTAGACTTGGTACAAACTAGCAAAAAAAAAGTGGTCCTTCACCAAGGTTTAAAATATAACTTTTGAAATACCCTGGAATGTATTTTACAAATGTTAGGCCTTTATGGGTTTTTAATGCCCCAAATTGAAACATGGGCCCATCTAATCAGTCTCAAAATTCTACTGTAGATTCTGAAATGGACAGTTCTCCTATTTGGCACTGTAGCTTCACGAAAGTGTGCCAAAGACATTAATTGGGGGTATCCTTTTACTTAGAAGACTTAGCTGAACATAATTTTGGGGCTTTGATCTTGGTGGCACATATCAAATATACAATATGCCCAGCAAAAATGTAATACGTATGTAAAAAAGCCAACAATTATTTACTACCTACTTTGACGTATATTGGTAAAAAAAAAAAATAGATATCTCGGAGTGTCTACTTTTACAAATGGTAGGTCATTGTGTTTTTTTTTTTTTGAACAGTCAAACTGCTATAATACCCCAAATTGAAACATAGGCCCATTAAATCCATCTATTAAAATTCTACTGTAAATACTGAAATGGACAGGCCGCCTATGTGGCACTGTAGCTTCACAAAACAGTGGCAAAGACATACAGTGGTGCTGTGGAGGAGGCACTGGGACTAGTGGTGTTGTGGAGACCGGCTTGGAGACTATGGTGAGGCCTAATAGAAAGCAGTTGTTGGGGGATTCCATTATAAGAGGTGTGGAGATGGATAATGGTGGTCTTGTGAGGTGTCTTCCCGGAGCTACTGCTCACAGAGACAGGAGACGTATCTGTAATATTGTTAAGCAAGCAAAGCAGGAAGGGGAATTGGATGTACTTGTCCATCTAGGGACAAATGACTTGGCTTGCAATGAGGTTTCAGAGGTTAAGGAAGTTTTTAGTGTTTTTTGCCAATGATATACGGCAGGTTGCTTCCACACTGTCATTCTCTGAAGTTCTGCCTGTGCATAACACTCAGAACGACAGGCGGATGCGTATTAGGGACTTTAATTTGTGGCTTGGTGAATGGTGTCGGGAGCAAGGATTTGGCTTTATTTCTCATGGTAGCTCTGTTTGGAATGGAGATAAGCTGTACAAAAAAGATGGTTTGCATCTTTCTCAAAAGGGAACAAATGTTCTCAGTGAGCAGTTCAGAGGTTTTGCTAGGATGTATTTAAACTAGGAGGGGGGCAAAAGGGTGATAAAACATCAATCCAATTGTCCCCCAAAACAAGGACAGAAGGTGCCTGTAGCAAGTGTGTTAAAAAATGATAAGCTTAGAGTCATGTCTACAAATGCTCACAGTTTAGGGAATAAGATCCATGAATTTGTGGCAATAATGGCAACTGATAGTGTAGATTTAGTCGCTGTTACTGAGACATGGTACAATGAGAAAAATGACTGGGACATAGCAATACCAGGGTACTCTTTATATAGGAAAGATAGGGAAGGCAAGAAAGGGGGAGGGGTGGCCTTGCATGTGAAGGATAGCATAAAATCTAGCCTAATAAAAGTTAGTGAGGCAAACAGAGTCCGTTTGGTTTACGTTAGAATTTGGTAATCACACAGTAACTCGTGTAGGTGTGATTTATACGCCCCCAGGACAAATTGAAGAGTTAGATAATCTACTAGTTGAGGAAATAGCTAAAATGACAATGAAGGGGGAAGTTATCATCATGGGTGACTATAATCTTCCTGATGTAAATTGGAAAACAAAATTAGCTACTTGTGCCAGGAGCACACATATTCTAAACTCCCTACTGGGATTGTCTCTAAAACAAGTTGTTGAGGAGCCAACTCGTAAAGAGGCCATACTAGATTTAGTGTTAACAAATGGAGATTTGGTATCAGATATTACCGTAGGTGAAAGTTTAGGATCCAGTGATCATCAGTCAGTGTGGTTTAATATAAGAACAGTGACTGAGTCACACCACACAAAAACAAAAAAGTTTTAGACTTTAGAAAAACAGACTTTTCTAAAATTAGAATATGGGTAGAGGAGTCATCATCAGACTGGAGCAATTTAAATGGAGTCCAAGAGAAATGGGATTATTTAAAAGTTGCACTATTGAAGGCAACAGAAAATTGCATTAGGCTTGTCAGTAAAAGCAAACATTTCAAGAAACCACTGTGGTACTCCCCAGATGTGGCCAAAATAGTTGAAAACAAAAAGTTAGCATTTAGGAATTATAAAAAAAAAAACCCAGAGTGAGGAAGACAAAATGATCTATAAGATTAGGCAGAAAGAGCCTAAGTTATAAGAGCTTCCAAATCACACACAGTAGAGAAAATAGCACAGTCAGTAAAAAAGGGGGATAAAACTTTTTTAGATACATAAATGAGAAAAGAAAAGTAAAACAAGGATTAGTTAGATTAAAAACAAAAGGAAGGTATGTAGAAGAGGATAAAGGTCTAGCTGACTGCCTCAATGAATATTTTTGTTCTGTATTTACAGATGAAAATGAAGGAAAGGGACCTCAGTTGAGAAAAAGGATAAATGAGTCATTTATTACAGAGGAAGAGGTTCTATTTCAACTGTCAAAAGTAAAGACAAATAAGTCAATGGGACCTGATGGAATACACCCAAAGCTATTAAAAGAATTTAGTGGTGTACGAGCAAAACCATTAACAGATTTAACCAATCATTGTTAACAGGAGTAGTGCCAGAAGATTGGAAGTTAGCGAATGTTGTGCCCATTTACAAGAAAGGTAATAGGGAGGAGTCGGGCAACTATAGGCCAGTAAGCCTTACTTCAGTAGTGGGGAAAGTGATGGAAACCATGTTAAAGGATAGGATTGCTGAGCATCTAAAAACACATGGATTTCAAGATCAGAGACAACATGGGTTTACTTCGGGGAGATCATGCCAAACTAATCTTATTGATCTTTTTGATTGTGTAACTAAAATTATAGTTCAGGATGGTGCAGTAGACATTGCTTATCTAGATTTCAGTAAGGCTTTTGACACTGTTGCACATAGAAGGCTTATCAATAAACTGCAATCTTTAAGTTTGGATTCAAATATTGTTGAATGGGTAAGGCAGTGGCTGAGTGACAGGCAACAGAGGGTTGTAGTTAATGGAATATATTCGAAGCTTGGACTTGTCACCAGTGGGGTACCTCAGGGATCTGTACTTGGACCCATTCTCTTTAATATTTTTATTAGTGACATTGCAGAAGGTCTTGATGGTAAGGTATGTCTTTTTGCTGATGATACTAAGATATGCAACAGGGGTGATGTTCCAGGAGGGATAAGCCAAATGACAAATGATTTAGGTAAACTAGAAAAATGGTCAGAATTGTGGTAACTGACATTTAATGTGGATAAGTGCAAGATAATGCATCTTGGACGTAAAAACCCAAGGGCAGAGTACAGAATATTTGATAGAGTCCTAACCTCAACATATGAGGAAAGGGATTTAGGGGTGATTATTTCTGATGACTTAAAGGTAGGCAGACAATGTAATAGAGCAGCAGGAAATGCTAGCAGAATGCTTGGTTGTATAGGGAGAGGTATTAGCAGTAGAAAGAGGGAAGTGCTCATGCCATTGTACAGAACACTGGTGAGACCTCACTTGGAGTATTGTACACAGTACTGGAGACCGTATCTTCAGAAGGATATTGATACCTTAGAGAGGGTTCAGAGAAGGGCTACTAAACTGGTTCATGGATTGCGGGATAAAACTTACCAGGAAAGGTTAAAGGATCTTAACATGTATAGCTTGGAGGAAAGACGAGACAGGGGGGATATGATAGAAACATTTAAATATATAAAAGGGAATCAACCCAGTAAAGGAGGAGACCACATTTAAAAGAAGAAAAACTACATTCTAGGTTTCTGTTTTTCTATGTTTCTCTGCTCAGCTCACTCGCGCGCACAGCAGTGATGCCGGAGCCGGAATATGACAGCACTCCGGCATCACTAAGAGATGTGCGAGGGGGCTGAGCAGGAAAATGACCGGCCGCTCAGCCTAGCAGCCCCACAAGGAAATAGAGACTCCATACCAAAAGGTAGGGAGGATGGGTGGAGTGAAATTTATAAAAATAAATGTAAAAAATTGTGTGCGCTTGCCAGTGAGCGTGTATATCTGTGTATGGGTCATTGCGTGTATCTGAGCGTGTGTATGTGCCAGTGTATATCAGTGTGTACGTGAGTGAATATAACTATGTAAATGTGTATCTGTGGGTGCAAGTGTGTGTATGTCACTGTGTGTATTTTTGAGTCAAGATGTGTATGTGTCACAGTCTGCGCATGTATCTGAGAGTGTGTGTCAGATACATACAAATTGACACAGATACACATTGGCACATACAAACACCTTGACACAGACAGGGGGGGGGGTCCCACAATGTTGATACACTATGTCAAAGAGTTCCACGGAAAAAAATAATTGAGAACACCTGCTCTAGGTTAAGTAGATTTTATCCTTTTAAAGTCACCGTCACTTTACATACCATTTTTTGTTTTGTTTTTTATATATGATGACCATCCTCCACTCAAGTACCAAGCATTGCAGACCTCTATAAAGATATCCTTAGACGGGGATTATTCCGTCCATGCCCATGAAATAGAGCTTGCATAGCTCTATAAAAGCGTGAGTGTACCTTTGGCACCATTTTATATACTGCACTATTTTTTAATCTTTTTGTTTTAAGATACATATTCTTGGAAATCGCCATCTCCTGTTACGTATGTAATTTGAAGTTTCAGCGCTGTTCGCCTTGTTTTTGATTGTATTTACATGTTGAGACCTGAGCAAGGACTAACTGAAGGGCAAGCTACAGAGTTTCTCAAAGCGTTTGCACATTCTCAGAGTTCTCTTATTCTCAGTTTTACTCTTCCACATTTACTGTGGCTATTAAAAGTTGAAGTGGCAAATTGCAAGTTTATAAAAGTGAGTACTTCAAGGCAGGAGGAGAAGTTAAACGTTTTTCTAGCAAACTTTTAAAATTAACTTTTGTAAAATTGTTAACTCTGACCTTCTGACCAGACTTCTTGGTCAAGCTGTATATTTAGTATAATTTTAAAAAAATATATACAATTTATTTTGAAAAGTTTCTTACTTCCAGACGATGGCATTCTCACTGGCTTTGTACTTGGCTTTACCCTTCATACAAATAACTTGCACACCACTAGTATTAAGTGGAGTTGGGATGCGAACCTGAATAAAAGAAGCATCAATTTAGATGAATGTACAAATTGTCTGCATGCAGTAATGTAGTAATGCAGTAATGAAGTCTATTAAAGCAGAAGGAACCTTACAATTAAAAAGGCTTGCTAAATATGGATATGCTTACACCAGGCTCTCTAGGGCTGATGCCTAAAGAGGCTAGTATGATATCTACAGATAAATTAGAAGTTTATTCAGAACTGTAATCCTAGTATATTCAGTCAGGCATAGAAAAATGTTCCTAAACTACATATTACTAAAAAAAAAATTAAAATAAAAAAAATAAATAATAAAAAAAAAACTCTGAAAGGTAGAGAGCTACAAAGAACATGGACTGTAGACATATCTATTGAATATTCTCTTTATAGCCACTGAACTCTAAGCATGCAGGTTGTGACCCTGCAGAATTAAACATACATTCCAAAGAGGGTGACGTTTACCAACAACTGGATGAGAGAAAGAACCTGTTGCCTGAACACTGCTGGTATTTAAGTACCAAAGTTGGACAATACATTTTTTTTGTTGTAAGATACATTGTGGCAAAATTTGCTAAAAGCCAATTTGAACACATCAATGCATGACAAGAAGTGGTTCAATAGGGATTTTGTTGAAGGTTTACTTAAAGGGACATTATAGTCACCAGAACAACTACAGCTTAAAGTAGTTCTGGTGAGTAGTCAGTCCCTGCAGGCTTTTTTGCAGTCAACAGTGTATTTTTAGATTACTAGAGGTGCTTCCTGGGGCAGTGCGCACTGCCATTCTGTCACCTTCTGCATGGAGACACCAAACATTCCTCAGCGATGCATTGATTCCTTGCCCCATGCCCACGCCTTGGCAATCTCAGCCATTCCAATGATTTACTATGGAAGATTGGCTCAGATAATCACTTCTGATGTCAGCCAAGGAGGCAGACTAGGTGCAGAGCCATAACCAAATGACAGGAACTAAGGTAAGATTTTACTATATTGAGGGTGACTGGGGGGGAGCTAGTTATTTTAACACTATAGGGTCAAGAAACACAGATTTGTGTTCCTTTTTATAAAAATAGTTAACATCTATAAACTACGCATTTCAAACAGATAATTGCATCAGTAATAGAAGTGAAGAATTCCCATAATAGATTCTTACACAATTATAGTGCTCTTTAAACTTTCTTACCTCAATTTTCTGAGCAAGAAGAGACGGTTTGAAGTTTGATTTAATGACCACCTTCACCTCTAGTTTGGTTCGTCCAACTTCACGCACAAGAGGGATGACACGAAAAGGTAAGATGATGTCTTTTGTGGTTCGGTATCTGCAAAAAGAGAATTTTAGATCACCGATTGGGAAATTAGTTTCAGTCACATATGAATATGTACAGATAAAAATACCTAATTACTACTGCATCACAAACTTTATCGGTTTAGTTTTTAAATCTCTGTGCACACGGATCAGCTCAACCTCAAAAACAAGTCAAAAAGGAAATAGTCAACCCTTGTGCAGACACTGAAGAATAAAAACACTGGCTTTTTCTAATTTCATTTAATGCTCCTGGAAAGTCATACCCAAACACAAACTATACCTACCTCATTAGTTCAAACTCTCCATCTGGCGGTATGAAACTAATGCTGCGCTCTGAATCAAACTTGCTGAGCCGAACACACTGGTGGAATGTACAGTCATCAATTGCAATGGATTGTTTCCCACTGAAAGTAGAATTGTGTAGTTGGCATTTTACAAATGCATTTACATATGAAATATTGTCATTGTACACTGAATTACTGGTTTTTGAGTGGACAAGAATATATTTTCATAAATCCCACAAGCCATAGGTCGGACAGTACTAAAGAAAGTGGCTGCTTTTTTGTCATACAATTCAGTGGAAGAGGCAAAAGATATTTTATTTTCACTCACTCTGGATTAGTTGCTCTAACACTGTCAATATATAAAGTCTGCAAAATTAAATCCCACAAACAAAAACAAAAAAACTCTCACTCACGTTTTTCCAGTTTCATCTGCAGTTCCTTTGCCTTGTTTCTCAATCACAATTTTGTCATTCATCCCAAACTTGCACTCCGGCATCCCACTTAAATAGCTCTTCATCACCACACGACCAGACACATGGGCACTAAGCACTTGTCCTAGAAAAGAACGCAATCACATTGATAAACCACACTGAAAAAAATGCACATTTTTAAAACCAACAAGTTTTTACAAGGAAAAAAAAACACAGTGACAACCCTACAGATACGAGAGAGTGTGCTATCTCCGTTAAGCACTGCAACAGATTCTCCCCAACATTAAACAATTTCTAAAAAAAAATTTTACAGTGTAATTAAAAAGAAAAAGTTGCATTGGATTTTTTAATTTTTAAGTATAGAAAGTTGCACTGTACTTGCATTAGGATTTTGATGGATTTTTAATAAAAGGGGTCTGGAAAATGTCTGATTTTTAGTGTAGAATATGCAGCCACCTGCACGCATACACAAATGTTACATATTGCCAGCAATTGGTAAACAATTTTTATATGCAATGAGAAAAGGAGTCCAATAAGATCCTTTAAGAACTCCAAATGGAATAGAGAAGTTGTGAAACAAAGGACATAGTTGCTTCCATCTGGGTGTGATAATAAGAAAGATGTAAATCAGTCATCTGTAAGGGGGGTGGGCATGGGGTTTATGGATAAAGTATGAACATCAAATGGCTTACATGCTAAACAGGATGGAAGAAGGGGAGAAGAATGGATGATCAGTGTATTAAGTGGAACATTGCATGCTGCTATATTGTACAAATCAGGTATAAAAAAACATTTGGCAGCCACACATAGCAGAAGGTTTACATTTGAGAATTTTGTCAATTCATTTGTGACTTGGGGATAGGTATTAAAACCACCATCTAGCTCCCCCTCCCCCTTCCCCCTAACTACTAAGATGTAGTTGTTCTGGTGACTATAGTGTCCCTTTAACAGTATCAGAAATGGTAACAGTAATTGCCAACTACAACCATATTCCTCTTTATCCCATGCTCACCAGCTATACTCACCCTGTGGGGACATCAGCAGATTGACACTCTCCAACACATCCAGGAATAGCTCATTCCGACGGTATTTAATACCTTCACGTCTCCAGCCAATCTGTCCAGTAACCTGGCTTGTGATCTGAGATTGTTCCTCCTTGGTCTGAACAAAACAGGGATTTATTTTAAATTTTTATGACCCCCTCCTATTTTATTTAGTTCATTTTAGCAAAAGCAAAAACCAGAAAAGCAATACACAATTATGGTCATTTAAGAAAAGTGTGATCTATAAACTCAATAAGACAACGTTTTGTATGTTTTGCAAGAATAGTTACTATGGATTGCATCAAAGGTTCTAGGACACCATCAGATTACTACATACGCTTAAGCATCCAGTGCTTAATTTATCAAAGCTCATATCTGCTTGTAGACATAATTAGGATGCTGGTGTGTTTAACAAAATGAAATTAACATAATGTTTCTTAGTAATCCTATGAAAAATTAAGTTTAGGCATTTCCATTTTGGAACGCATAAGACATAAAAAAAGTTAAGCATACACCTTCAGTGACCTCCCAAGAAACAAAATGGAAACTCATACCACTCGCTCCTACCTGATGCTAAAGATCCAGCCACACGAAGCAGTGACGACAAGTAATATGGCAGGCAACACACGGGCAGAGTAAAGCAGGTCATGAAAAAGGAATAAAAACAAGTCTATTTAAAGCCTGCAGCTGGGAGAGTTTTTGGTATATGCAGTTAGCGCACATAGGAAAAACAGCAGATAAATTCTAAACACAGGGAACACATTTCCATGCACAGCTATTGTGTGTTTATTACCATAAATCAAATGTTAACATGGAGAGAGAGGTCCAGTACCAAGGAATAGTCACAGGTCAGAGTATGCATTTGAGTTATCAGGGCAAAAATAAATAAATCCGCACAACGACAGAAAAGGTTTGCGCCTTACCAGTACTATGGCATGCAAATACAATTACCTGGCTTTTAATCCCTTGTTGTGTGATGAATGTTTTCAGGGCTCCTGTCTCAGAGTTTTGAGGGTAACCAAAGTCTAGGATCTCTGTATAAATGAAACATTTTATATATATTTTCTTCTTCTTTTAGGCAAGATGAATAAAAATACATTTTACAAAGCAGCTTTTCACATTTCCTTTATAGTAATAAATGTGTGCGTGTAAGGGGAGATAGAGTTTTTATGGCTCATTCATACCAGTAAATACCATTGTGTATGGTTTTGTTGAACAAAAGGGGAGAAGCTAAGCCTTTGTGAATTTTATTGGTAGGTTAGGTGCAAAGATGCATCTAAAAGTAGCATATTAAGCAGCAGATCAACATAGGTATACAGTTTTAACATTTTCAAACCTTTACCTGAATACCATTTTCCCCTATTTCCAAGAAACAGTGAGAATTACTCTATAGGCACCCAAACCCCTTAAAGGGACCTGTAGGCCCTCAGACCACTTTAGCTAATTGAAGTAGTCTGGGTGCTGTGACCCTTTTGCACTTAGTGCTGCAATGTTCACATTGCAGCTCTAAGTCTGCCCTCAGTGGCGGTCTACCAGACAGCCACTAGAGAGCTTTCGGAATCCAAAACGGACTTTTGATCCGTTATCTGACGCTGGACATCATCACGGACCTCCAGCGTCAGATTTCCCCCATAGGAAAGCATAGAATAAGCATACACCTTCAGTGACCTCCCAGGTATAGAATAATGCTTTCCTATGGGGAGGTCTAAAGCACGCGTGGTCATTGCCGTGCATGCGCATTAGGTCTCTCCGATGGCTGATGGTGGGGGAGGAACATGGGCAGAGCCTGACCCAGCACTGGATTTAGGGAAGTGGCTGAAAGGGTTTTAACTGTTTCAGCCCAGTGGGAGGGGGGCACTCTAAGAGCCTATAGTGCCAGGAAAACCCACTATAACTTTAATGAACTGGACGCCAGCTCAATGTCAACGGCAACCAATAATATTACTGATCTGCAGGAACAGCAATGTTTTCATTGCAAGGTTAACACCTCTAGTGACTGCTGTTTAAGTTTCCTCTAATTTGAGGTAGTAAATTTCAGTTTCACAGTTTAAATTATTAGCCAGAACCACTACTTGTTGCGCAGTTTCTAACAGAAACATATCATTCCATTAACCCAGGGCATCCGGAGGTTTCTAGGATACGCATAGAATTCTCTAAGTATTTTGTAAAAGTAAACTAAGCTAAAAACTACTTTAGATTAATGGAGGGATTTTGGTGTATGAACAGTGAGACTGCATGGGCATGATCCAATAGCCATTTAGGATTTAAAATTACTATATTAACGGAGCCCTAGTCACACCTTCCCTGCATGTGACCCACACAGTCTACATATGAATTTCCAGTAAAGAGGGGGTCTAATATTTAAAACCTTGTTCATTGCACAGTCTGTTTAATTATATAATATTTTCTCCTGTTCTGTTAACAGCCTGCTAGAGCAAACAGGAGCCTCCTGTGTGTGATTAAAGTTTAAACAGAGCAGGGGATTAAAATCAATTTGTTTTCATAAAAGCTGTGAGTGTCACAGCCAGACATAAACAGAAACAAAAGTGATTTAACAACTTAATGACAGAATTTAGCAATTAAACGGTCAAGATGTGATCTATACACCTAAGCTGCTACAGTTTTGGTGCTTTAAATATATCCCCTTCCCCCCCCCAGAAAATAAAAAAAAATACAAAGCCACCCCTGGTTCAAGTATTATATGTTCCTGCTTGTGTAAATTTTCTTTCATTGTTTTTCAAAAAAATCCCCCAGTTCCAAAATATTATGCCAACTCAGTGGAAAGACTGCAGCAGCTTCAATTAAGAATTTACAGTGTAAGTGCCCAATCACATCTCATGCAGGGTGAACCAATGTTACAGTACTTAGGATTTCAGTCTGCCTTTTCAGAAGGAATTTAGAGTGAACGTGACCTCACCACACTCCATATATTAAAACACAAGCTACTTTGCATCAAAATCTAAGCATCTCAACTATTTAAATTGTTCAATCTAGTGTTAAAAAGACATGTACTAATGTCTGAGTAATGATAAATCACAACCGCCTCACTTTCTTACCATCCAGCAGCTCATAAATCAATACAAAGTTGTTCTTTATGTTCTCCTCACTGATCTTCCCAAAGTAGGCTGTCATAACATCACACATCTTGTAGAGGAACTCGAACACCATTGCAGCATTGACATTCTGCTTGGTGACTGCTGCGAGCCATATGTTCGAGCGCTTGACATGAAAGAAGCTAGTGCGAGCAATATTGGTGACTGGAGAGCGCACCTGCTGTCGAGCATGGATGACATTGACCCGGAAAGCATCCACTGCATTCCGCCTACACATGAGGGAAAGAGCAGAGACATTTAAAAAAAAAAAAACAAACAAAAAAAAAAAACACACACACACACACGTTGTGATAGGGCATTAAACAGCATTGTTTTTAATAAAAAGTTCCAAACACCATTTTTCTTATGGTAAGCTCAGTAAAAGGCAAAACAAAAATTTATTAAGTCAACACAAGTTTCCTCTCCATGAAAGGGTGCATTGTTACCAACAAACTTCTACAGCAGGGGTAGTCAACCTTTTAATACCTACCGCCCACTTTTGAATCTTTGTTGATGGTAAAATTTCCTTACTGCCCACCAGTGCCACAGTAACTAATTTTATAGCGCAAGTGCGATTTTTCTTTTTCTAAATGAGGGTTTTTAAAAGAAAAAAAAACATACGTACTTAAAGGGTGCAGTGAGAGTGAGGGGCACAGTGCGTAAGTGAGATGTGAAAATCTATCTTAATGTCTCTCTCTCCCTTTTTCTTAGCTTTTACCAGAGGGAGGCGGGAGACATAACGCTGCAAGCCCTGGTGGTCCAGTGGTGGCATGTTCACAGGAGTCTGCAGCTCCTTCAGCTGCAGGCTGACTCTCCTGTCCTCCTGCGAGCACAGCGCTGAATTGGAGTGTTGACATGGTAATGTGCGGCAGCACTCCATCCAACCTGCTCACGGGAGGATCACAGAGCCTCCCAGGCCCTTCCCTCCCTCTGCTGGAACTAAGTGCCAGCAGCCCAGTGAGGGAGATCTTTGATTTCCTTAGCAGCCCGAGAGAGGGAGAGCTTTCCTCACCAGCAAGGCTGTCTCTGCATGGGCCAGCAGGGGAGATGAAAGGATCTCCCCTGCTGGCCTTGTTCCATGGCAAGCGAGGCCCACTGGACATTTTTTGCAGAACCCACCATCGCCCACTTGAAATCCCAAACCGCCCAGTAGTGGGCGGTAGGGACCAGGTTGACTGCCCATGTTCTACAGCTTAAGAGAACTTGGTTGGCTTTCCATCAATGAGAGCAGAAGGTGGAGAAAACCATTTTAGAAACAGACTAGATCAATATATGCACTTAGACATAAAATTCAGCATTTCATACTTTCATAGAGTGAAAAATAAATAAATAAAAAAGCCTTAAGATAACTAGTGTTGTACAAAATTATAAGACTGTTTACAGAAGGTAAAACCTATTTGCTGGGTTACATGTTAACATATCACACTGTGTACATCAGGGCTTGACAAACTCCAGAATCTAGGAATATATGCCTCCTAAAAATGGTTTCTAATATCTTAAGGTAGACACAGATATAAGGAAATAAATATCTCTGACTAGCAACAAAGAAGGCATGTCTAGGTCCTAAATTCTTAATTTCTCAATCCCTGAAATACACCTACATGTTTCCAGAACTCTTGAATATTTGTACTACCCAAAACATTAGCACCTCATCACCATATATATCCATATGCTTAACAAAAAAAACAAAACAAAAAACGAATTTCTAAGAAAAATGGCACTCATTAGCTTTAGAGACCCATAGAACCTCTGTTTTTCATTCTGTTAAACGTATCCCACTAATGACAATTTAGTAATGAACACCTCAACATACCAGAAGTAATTCAGAGCTACATAGTAAGGCAATTTAATGCCTAAGAGAGAGCTGGTGCGAGTTGTTTGACCATTTCTAAGAATGGTTGTATACTGGGTCTCTAGTAGTGATGAGTGAATTTGAGATTGTTAGTACACAAGTAATACATAGACAATGACGTGTAGTTCACATTTAATGTTAGAATATGGAGGCCACCAGGTTAGAAATATGTTAAAGACAAAAACTTCAAAGACCTACACTATTGCATGGGCAAAGACGCAAACAGCAGCCACTAGAGGGCAGGCTGCAGCAGCAGAACTGATCTTACCTATTGCTACAGCAGCCAATGAGGAGATGAGATGAAAAGAGATGACACCAGCAAGGGAAAGGACAGTGACAGCAATGAAAGAAAAGGGTTAGAGAAAAAAAAAAATACGAAAAACTGCAGACACCAAGAAAACAGCAATGCATAGAACTCTTCATTCCTTCAGAGATGCACCTTTGAACTCCACATACCCATGGCACATGCCACATTTTCCAGTAATGCATTTTACATCAAGTAGTATTCTTTTCAATGTTGAAATGGGACCTCTAATGCAAGAAAATGCAGCAGGAAAACATGCAAAGATCATAACTTAGAAGGGTCTGAAGTGATTTAAGTCTCTGCAATATTTCAGTGTAACCTGCGCAGCTAGGCACAATATCTTAAAGGACCACTATAAGCACCCAGATCACTTCAGCTTAATGAAGTGGTCTGGCTGCCAGGTCCACCTATGATTAACCCTTCCTGCTGTCAACATAACAGTTTCAGAGAAACTGCAATGTTTACATTTGGGTTAATCCAGCCTCTAGTGGCTGTCTCATTGACAGCCGCTAGAGGCGCTTCCGCGCTTCTCACTGATTTTCACAGTGAGAAGATTCCAGCGTCCATAGGAAAGCATTGAGAAATGCTTTCCTATGAGACTGGGTGAATGCGCGCGTCTCTTGCCGCGCATGCGCAATCAGCCGATGACAGGAAAGAAAGAGGAGAGTCTCCAGCACCGAGGGAGCCCGGCGCTGGAGAAAGGTGAGGGATTAACCCCCTTCCTCTCCATCCAGCCCGGCGGGAGGGGGACCCCGAGGGTGGGGGCACCCTCAGGGCACTATAGTGCCAGGAAAACGAGTATGTTTTCCTGGCACTTTAGCGGTCCTTTAAAATATGTCAGATTTAGATACTGAAAAATCTAAGCCTCTAAAAATCAGTGGTCAAAACACGTAGCGCCATTTTTGTCTCAAAGTAGACTTTTAAACTGTAAGGGAAATAAAAAGCAGTCACTTCTGACAAGACATCATATTGAGAGTTCAGAAAGAAATAAACTAATCCCATTAAAAGCCTTCAAATTAATCTAGGTTCAGATTAAGGTTATTTAAAATACAGAAACAAAAAAAAACAAACAAAAAAATTGGATTCGCCCGTGACATTGCCGCTTTACGTTAGCTTTATTTTTTGTGTCAAAGAAAGTACTCCCTTCTCCTTGACACAGGAAATGGAGCCCACTTGTTTTATACAGCAGTGTTAAGGGCAGTGGGACACTGCAACTAGACCACTTCAATGAGATGAAATGTTCTGGGTGCATATAGTGTCCCTTTAATTATATACACAAGTCCCCAGCACCAACTAGGAAGCATTAATTAATATGGCTAAACGGATATGTTTATTCTCTGCTTTAACCACATCTCTAATAGGAGCTGGGCTGTGAGTGTCCAGGGACCTTTATTTACCGTTCAACTGTTTAAAAATGTTTGAGATTCCTGCACAATAACCTTCATTGGAGGAGCCCTTTGGCTGATATGTACTGCAACCTCTTATTGGTCCCCTTCTTTATAAAGGCAATATATTTGTGAAAGATCTAGGTAGCAACAATTTTCTATAAGTGGAAGCTCAGAACCAATATCTGATATGAAGGCCAGACTATAGTAAAGAATGCCCCCATTACAAATGCAGACTATGTGTAGAAAATTATGGGAAATATTTTAGGGTTTTGTCAGGTAATGTTACATGTAGATTCAAAAGGACTAAATCTGATCACTCATAGTTAGTGTGCCATCTTTGAATAACACCCTTCTTGCTTTTATTCACAACATGGGTGAAATTAGAAATGCCACTACAGAACTGAAATCTTGGTAGTGTGGGAGAAGCCCTGCAAAGCAACCTGACTCAACTTCACTTCCCTTCTGCACTGATCGCAGAATCATTTCACATAGGCAGCCAACAAATTATTTGCAGTTGAATTTCCTGTGATCCAGCAGTCTCGTTCCTCGTCAGAGAGGAGGACTGCTTGTGCCGTGTGTGGGGCGGGCGGCCGGCTGTTGCACTGCTAACAGTGCCCTGCCAGAAGCATGAGGCTACATGGAACTGGCTCTGCCTCCCTCCATACCCTGTGGCCCCTATTAGTATGGAGACACCATGAGTCCAAGATACAGCCATGTCGACCCAAAGCTCAGAGGCCACATGTCAAATTGCCTGTGCCGGGAGACCGACGCTCCACACTACATAATCTTTGCAGATTTCTGGCACTGGCTGGCCTGATACCAGCGGAAGCCTGCTAAGCAAAAATGACAAACCCCCAGTTCGGCACTTACCACACACAATCCTGTGTTCCGGTCATGGGGCGAGCCAGGATATGGTGGAGGAGCCGGAGACACATCAAGCAAGCGCATGTAGCACTCAAACAACCAATGGATATCAACCCTCACAAACCTACCCTAGTGTCTACCCAAGAGGACAGGTCCCAACAAGAGACATTACTTCCACTTTGGCTTTGCCTGCCATACCTCCTTGATTGCCGCAAAGAGACTGCAGCACTAACAGAGCCAGATTGCAGCAGGGCTACGCTAAACCCCTGGGAGGTATCAGCCGAGCTCATTCGATCGCTATGATAACCGTATACATGCCTCATTGATGTTCAGCTTGCATGAGGCTGCTTCTTATCATTTATTAAGAAATTGCCCCAGCTATCAGAGGGCAATCCTCGGTTGTCTTGAGACACAGTTCCTCTGCTCTAACCTGTGACTTAACTCTTAATAAGCCTGTATTGCTGAATTCTAGTTTAGATCGATATGCTGGTGGCTTCTGACTCGTTCAGTCTCTGTGTCTAATACAATTTAAACGATTACTTGCATTATTGTGTACACAGTCTGAACACACGTAATTAGCCTGATTATTACTCTTATTTTAAAAAATTTTTTGCTTTCTCTCTGTATGCCATGCTGATGTTTTATATTATTGTTGGGCTGGTTATAGTGATCGTGAGTTTACAAACGTGTTGTTCTTACCCGGCAGCAAAAATTTTTTAAAATAAAATAATGTTTCCACCTAGCCATACTATTAATGAATTATGGCTACAAGGAACACTATAGGTTGAGGAACACAAACTAAGCCACCCTTAAATATAGTAAAATCTTACCTTTATTCCAGATTGCTGGCGCTGGACCTGCCCCTGATCTGCGTCCTTGGCTGACATAAGAAGTGATGATCTCACCCAATCACAATGCTTTCCCATAGGAAAGCAGTGTATTGGCTGAAATAGTTAATTCTGAAGATTTCAGCCAAAGAGGCAGGCTGAGCAGTGGTGCTAAACACTGCCCTGGCCAATCTCCTCAGAGATGCATCGAAGCATTGCATCTCTATGAGGAAAGTTTAGTGTCTCCATGCAGAGGTGTGCAGCACTGCCCCAGGAAGCACCTCTAGAAGCCATCTGAGGAGTGGCCAGTGGCGTTTCCCCCTAGGCTGTATTGTAAACCCCTTTTCTATGAAAAGACAGTGTTTACTGTAAAAAGCCTGCAGGGACATGCTATACTCACCATAAAACTTACATGAAGCTGTAGGACTCATTCCTCACTAAGACTTTGAAGGATGAAACAGTTTTAAACTCTTGTGCACCATTGGTCTTAAAGATTCAATTTAGTAGTCTTGATTCATTGTCATGTCAACACTAATCTAACACTGCTGTTTAGTAGATACAGCAACGTTAAAGGGACATTATAGGCACCAAGACCACTTGATCTTATTGAAGTGCTCTCGGTGAGGTGTCCGTCCCATTAACCCTGCAATGTAAACCACTGCAATTTCCGAGAAACTGCAATATTTACATTGCAGTAATAAGTCAGATGTATTTAATTAAATGCTGCTCAAAGAGAGCATTTGATTTACGCATCACACATTTAAGTTTCCCGCTTCCAAATAGCTCAATTTGAAACAGTGTATCTTAAGCATCATGCAAAAAAAAAAAAAAAATCTACTATTACAGAGCAATAATTTAAAACATGCACACACAAAAAAAAGGGCCTTTTTGCCTCATGTTTGGTATCAGATTCCTAGTAGCAAAGACTCTCTGAAAAAAGCAAACCATTATTAATTTGTGGCTACATACTTGTCTTTACCACCATTACAATCTTTCAGAAAGTCATTCTATGGGAATAAAGCCAAATTAAAAAAAAAAAAAATATATATAATGTTGGTTCAAGTTAAAATGCTTATTCATATAAATACAAAAAAAAAATTTTTTGTTCATAGTACCTACTCACCATGCAATAAATTCAGCCATGTGTTTGCTACCAGAAGCTTCACAACCAATTAAAACTCACATTACATGCCATAGATTCCATGCTACATTAAAAACACATGGCTACACTCCTAATGACTTCATTAGGCAGAAATAGGGACAAGGTGTGTGTCACACTAAATCTGTTAAAATAAAAATGTATTTTAAAGACTCTCACCCTATGTCATCTCTGTACACTCTGGAGATAAGGACCTCCCCCTTGTGATTATAGATGAAAAGTCCTCCAATCATGGTGGCTACAGCTCAGTTTTTCCTTCCCATGATGGTTAATACAGACCTAAGAAAGAGTAAAACGTTAGATACAAATATTGGCACAAAGTGAAATCTTAATCAAATTATCAAGTAAATTATAGTATTATCTAGATTAGGGATTCCCAGCTTCTTAAACCAAGGCATACATCAATGTGTAAAAAAAATAAAACATCTTACTTTCATGAGCAGCTAATCAGTAATTTATGCAACGCCTTACTAGAGGCATGTATCCTAACAAAATTGTCAATGTGATCAGAATTTCTCCTGCCCAAATCTTGCACTATGTACTCATTACCAACATAGTAACTGTGATATGCACTTGCAGTATAAAACAAACAACCAGGTTCTGCTGCTTACCCAAAATCACCATCTACAGATCTCATCTGCATTGCAACCATAAGCAAAAAAGTTAAGTAGATCAGCAAGAAAATGTCGGCATTCTGAGTTCCCCTGGATGCACAGCTGCATGAAGGAAGGAAGGGGTGGGATCCACAGAATTCAATGGAAATTGCTGAATTTAGAGGAAATTGGGAGGTTCTGCAGAGACATGGGTTTGGAGTCGCTGCTGACTAAACAAAGTAATGTTTATAATATAGGGAAGACTGTTCTATATCAAACTAGAATTTAGAACACTGGAGAAGGGTCATCAATTTATGGAAAAAAATTAATTTATGTGGTCCTAAACTAAGCCCCACTCACTACAAAATCTATATAGTGCAGGGAACACTTGCATTAGAAAAATAAACATGTATTTCTAACTCTCTAGTATTCCTGTAAAGAAAAATAAAAAGTCAAAGTTCTAAAGAAAATATTCTAAAGCGCCTGAACAATTAGATTATGACCAGAGTAGGAAATATCAGGGTTCTGCAGCACACCTACTCCTCCCTTCTTAGAAGAGAGGGAACAAAAAACAAACCACACACACACAATCATGGTATCCAAGAATTAAAGACTAACAATTATACTAGATGTTGGGTCAAACAGCATTCCCAAATCTAGGTTTAATAGGTGTCAAAAATATTTATATAATAAATAGATTTTATATTAAGATTTTAATTAATTGTAATTATGTTGGTATGTAACTTCTGATGTATCATGAAATGTAATTTATGACTTGATTTTTTTTTGTTCTGCCTACTTTTAAAATAAACAAAAGTTTAGTCCACTTTTAAAATAAATAAAAAATAAATAAACAAACGACCCACTCATCGAGTGAAAGGAAAAGGAGCAACGAGAACGTCAATTAAAACGTCAGATTGTCCCAACTGGGCAACTATTGCCAGATGTCTGAGGTTTGGCAGGACAGTCTGGTAATTGACTTGCTGAACGTCTACACCTTAAACTGTTACTCCAGACACCATATCCACTTGTGATTTGTATTAGTCATGCTGCTATATTAAAAAACTCTGCACATACACAGTTTAAACCCTTTGCAGTTGGAGGTTTAACTCCACCTCCAGCATTACTGGGGTGCTATTAGCGAGCTTAGAACAAGAATTCTGGGCTGGCTAATGACAGTGATGTGCATATTTCTATGCACAGAATTGCATTAATTTGCTGAAAGATGTCAAATGACACTGTCAATAGACAGCAGGATAAGCATTCAGCTTGTGTAGAAGACGGATGTAATTCTGCTGAACAGGGGACCCATGGCATCCAGGAGAGACAAAAGGTAAGACGGAAACAGTTGTAAAAACGGTCTTCTCATTGCCCAGTTAATCCTGCCATCATAACTACAGCAGGCTTTAGTGGTTTTGGTGGCTGAAGTAACCCTTTAATGTAGCATTACAAAATTTCAGAGTGGGAGGAAGCTTCTGGCAGGACACAGAGGATACGGAGCACAGATACTGTGCACTATGTTGTCAAGGGGCAGGGACAAAAATGAATTTGCCTGCTCTTTGTCTATACACTGGGTGTTGAATCCTTAGAGTCCACAGACGTGAACAGATAGAAGTTCCATTGGCTCACCCCTTAAGAAAAGTGAGGAAATAAAGGGTGCCAAACAAAATACACCGATTGTAACTTAAAAATTAAGCAACTCCTTTACTGTACAATTCTTGTGGCACAGGGAATTAAGCTGCTTCTAACAGCAGAAGCAGATACAGTGCCAAACTACATACTGTATTGTTTTCCAGCTGCCTGTGCATTTCTATGCCTCTTTTTTCTCTATGTAAGTTTCTGCAGAGACATTACTACATTCTCATGTACTACAGATTTTAAAGAAAAACATTTCTCCGATCATTACTGCAAAGTAAGCAGTACTAAATACTTAAGAAGACTGTTTAATAATACAGTAACTGATGGCTTGCAGTAAAGAGATCCCACAGCTGGAATGAATGATTAAGTTAGAACCATTTTTTGTCCTGCTGACTCCTTGGTAACTAGCAGACATACAAGGCAGGTAGTAAAGATGTAAGCCTAGTCTCACCCATGCACAGATGGAATGTACTGCACAAGAGGGAGGGAATTTCAAACAAAAATAACATTGAAAATGCACTAGGGGAAATATTTTAGTTCAGGGGCCATCCAACTAGTTGTGAGAGATGAACAGAGTAACGGGCAGGGTATTCAAACAGCCGCCTAATAAAAGGCAGGCTGCCTATAGAGAAAATAGCATTACTGAACAGCACAGAAAAAGCAGATTGAACACATACTTGTGAAAATAAGCACATTGTAAGGTAATGAATACTGTAAAGCCAGGGCTTGACAAATTTGTTTGGAATATAGGTGCAAACTTAAAGTGTTAGGAGCCAGGTTTATTCCCTTTTTTAAATTCATGAAGTTTTATTTTCAACAGAAATACAATTCCTAAAATGACACTACAGTCTTAGAACCACTAGAGCTTAATTCTGGTGTCTATGCTGGTCCCTGCTGACTTTACCATGCTTACGCAGTAGCCTCTCAATGCTTTCCTCTGGGAAGCATTGGATTGGCTGAGATCAAGATTATCTCAGCCATGGATGCAAGGCAAACCAGGGCGAGACTGTCATGACGTGGTTAAAAACACATTTCACATTAGATCGCAGAGGGCAGACATCCACAGGTAGCCGCACTTTTAGGCCTTCCCAGCCTCCTTATCTTTGGGAGAGCTGGAATAGATTATTTCCCTTCAAAATCTTCTTGTTCTGCTCCGCACTGTTTAGTGATTTCGGCTCCCGTGACCACAGCAAGGCGTGCGACAGAGCAGGAAGATCACAGCTCCCTCAATCGCTTGGCTCAAATAGGTGTTTTCTGACCTCCGCGGGATGGTGGGGGCTGATTACGTGCTGCAAAAGAGGCTGACAACCACCCAGGCAAAATTCCTAATCGCCATGGCGACCTGGGATTTATCAAGCACTTCTGTAAGAAGCGTAGATTGGTACTCTTTAAATCTAAACAGTTTGATTGAACATGTACATGCTCACAACAATAACATAACTAGAAAAAGTTTAATAATGCAAGCAACAGTGTCATAACCGTGTCAGCCTGTCACTCCCCCCATTATACCGAGCCTGTCACCCCCCCATATTATACCGAGCCTGTCACCCCCCCATATTATACCGAGCCTGTCACCCCCCCATATTATACCGAGCCTGTCACCCCCCCCATATTATACCGAGCCTGTCACCCAACATGGAAGAAAAATATATTTTCTAAGATTAATATGTCAGCCCCCCCCCGGGCAGTTGCCTTCAGCTGCTGCTTAATGGGTCTAACCGAGAAACGTGTCGTGTAATCACAGCCAACATCACAGGGTTAGATGCCCTACGCGACCCACTAGACAGCCTGCACCCAGCCTGAGCAAGTACCAATTACCTCCTCTCGCTCTCTGTGCCTCCGATGAGAGATGAAAATGGCGACCGACCCCTCCCACCTGGTTCTTTGCGCAGTGCTTACGTCACCACGCAGCAACGTCATCTGACAGCCTCCTCCATAGACCGCGACGGGTGAATGAGCGCGTGCGCAGAGACAAGGGCGCGGCCTGGGATCACCTGATTCCACTCACTGCCCGATGGCGGGAGCGGCTGTGCGTGACGTCATCCGGCTAATGTACGCCATATGGCCGTTATACTAGCCAGCCTCGAGAACGTCATCTCTGTTGATTTAAATTCCAAATGAAATGTGTTGACACAGATAATTTAACCCCTTAAGGACCGGCCTGTTTTTGCGATGTTGTACATTTGCGACCAGGCATATTTTTACACTTTTGTGGTGTTTGTGTTTAGCTGTAATTGTCCGCTCTCTCATTTACTGTTCCCATACAAATTATATATGTTTTTATTCAGGACAAAAGGGGCTTTCTTTACATACCATTATTTATATAATCTCACATAATTTAATTTAAAAAAATATGATAAATTTTTTTTAAAAATATATGTTTTTTGACTTTTACTTGAAAAATCTTTACTCATCTACAAAAGCGAATGAAAAAAAACCTGCAAAATAGATTCAAAATTTTGTCCTGAGATTAAAAATACCCAGTGTTTACATGCTTTTTTGCAAGTTATAGGTACAAGTAGGATATTGCGGGTTTCAAAACATTCATTTTTAAAATTTATCAATAGTGACATTGTAACACTATTACCCTATAACCCAGGGTATTCAATATGGGGTATGCCCAGTCTTTTTTAGTAGCCACTTAGTCGCAAACACTGGCCAAAGTTAGCGTTCATATTTGTATGTGTGTGAAAAAAGTAAAAAACTAAATTGAATGCTAATTTTGGCCAGTGTTTGTGACTAAGTGGCTACTAAAAGAGACTGGACATACCCCATTTGCAATACCTTGGGTTGTCTAATATTGCAAATGGTATGCCATCATGGGGGTAATTCTCATTCCTGGGCTACCATACGCTTTCAAAGGCAACGTAACCAACCTGGCCATTTTCAATGTAAAAATATTTGACCCTGTAACTTTCAAAAACGCTATAAAACTTGTACATGGGGGGTACTGTTATATTCGTGAGACTTTGCTGAACACAAATATTAGTGTTTCAAAACAGAAAAACGTATCACAACAATTTTATCATCAGTAAAAGTGCTGTTTGTGTGTGAAAAATGCAAAAAAAGTCACTTTCACTGACAATATCATCGCTGTGATGTGTTTTACTGTTTTGAATCACTAATATTTGTGTTCAGTGAAGTCTCCTGAGTAAAATGGTACCCCCCATGTACAGGTTTTAGGGTGTCATAGAAAGTTACAGGGTAAAATATAGTGCTAGCAAATTAAATTCTCTGGACTTTTGGCCTGGGTTGGCAGGCAGGTCCCTCAAATTTCAATCGATAAAATTACTTAATTATGTAAAAATATTACATAAATACGCACGTAGAATTTAAATACATATGCATATTTATATACTTGAAGTCTACGTGTATATTTATATAATTATGTAATTTTGTATATGGACATATGTATATTTCGTATTATTTTTATTTATTTATTTATATATACATAGATATATATACAATTTCATTCTAAGTGTATTTTGATATAAATATATATATATATTACTATCAAAATACAGTTAGAATAAAATTTCATATAGATATATATTTTTTTTTTTAAATTTTTATTATTTTTTTTTCCATGGTATAGTTGTCACATTGATAAACATACAAATAAGTAAATAAATAAAATAATAATGAAAAATTTTTTTTTATAATGCAAATAAATTACATTCTCTGAGACTCGATATGGGGGGAACCACAATCTGTTATCATGAATTCTGTCTATTTGTCCAGGGTAACCATAGTTTGGCCACATCTCTAATGCCAAAAAAGGGGTTTGATTCCATCCTGTACTGATAATCTATTTGCTCCATAATATTGTGCCATATTAATGGGATAGAAGATTTCCAAGTCCTAGCTATACATATTTTAATGGCAAAAAATATATGGGTCAAAAGATATTTTTGATATTTATCTTGCGAAGGGAAACCAATGTTAAAGAGAAAAAGTTGAGGGCTAATTTCTTTTATCTCCTTAAAAATAGAATTAATAAGGCCAAGCATTTGAATTTTTATATTATCAAGACCCTGACACTCCCACCATATATGATAAATAGTGCCCTCTTCATTTCCACATCTCCAACAATTCTTAGAATGTACAGATGATATTTTATACAGTCTAGCCGGTACCATATACCACCTATATATTATCTTTAAATGTGTTTCATAGAGAGAGACGCTATGTATACAGCGCTTAACTAGGAGTGTAGCTTTGGTCCATTCCAAAAGTGGAAAGGATTCCCCAATATCTTGTTCCCATTTAGCAAAGGAGGTAGCATGAGAGTCTTGTTCCATTGATTCTAGCAACTTAGTAAATCTAGAGATCCCTCCCTTCTTTTTATATAATACAATAAGGGGATTAACGTTGTGATCCTTAAGTATAGTCCGAGATAATAAAAAGTTCTTAATCCTTAGATATTGAAATAGATCTCTAGGGGAAAGATTATACTTTTCTTGCAATTGTATAAATGGGATGGGTTTAAATCCATCCCATAGATCCGAGATCTTCACTAGACCTAGGTGTGTCCAAAATTGAACATTTATATTATCCATTATGTGTTGTAAGACCACTAATGGAACCCTATATAATAATTTATCTTCTAGCTTCAATTTTTTATTTAGGATTTTGGAGGTATTGATCATATCTATCAATATACGATTCGAAAAATTCTTGGTATCCAGTTCACCCAAATTTAACATACCCATCCAAAAAAGAATGAACAATTTATATCTAGGACTATCCTCCTGTTCTAAGGTAAGCCATGATTTATATCCCTGTTCCTTGTCTAGCCACTGAAAAAGGATATTGCGGGTTTCAAAACATACATTTTTAAAATTTATCAATAGTGACATTGTAACACTATTACCCTATAACCCAGGGTATTCAATATGGGGTATGTCCAGTCTTTTTAGTAGCCACTTAGTCGCAAACACTGGCCAAAGTTAGCATTCATATTTGTATGTGTGTGAAAAAAGTAAAAAACTAAATTGAATGCTAATTTTGGCCAGTGTTTGTGACTAAGTGGCTACTAAAAGAGACTGGACATACCCCATTTGCAATACCTTGGGTTGTCTAATATTGCAAATGGTATGCCATCATGGGGGTAATTCTCATTCCTGGGCTACCATACGCTCTCAAAGGCAACGTAACCAACCTGGCCATTTTCAATGTAAAAATATTTGACCCTGTAACTTTCAAAAATGCTATAAAACTTGTACATGGGGGGTACTGTTATAACCGGGAGACTTGAACACAAATATTAGTGTTTCAAAACAGAAAAACGTATCACAACAATTTTATCATCAGTAAAAGTGCTGTTTGTGTGTGAAAAATGCAAAAAAAGTCACTTTCACTGACAATATCATCGCTGTGATGTGTTTTACTGTTTTGAATCACTAATATTTGTGTTCAGTGAAGTCTCCCGAGTAAAACGGTACCCCCCATGTACAGGTTTTAGGGTGTCATAGAAAGTTACAGGGTAAAATATAGTGCTAGCAAATTAAATTCTCTGGACTTTTGGCCTGGGTTGGCAGGCAGGTCCCTCAAATTTCAATCAATAAAATTACTTAATTATGTAAAAATATTACATAAATACGCACGTAGAATTTAAATACATATGCATATTTATATACTTGAAGTCTACGTGTATATTTATATAATTATGTAATTTTGTGTATGCACATATGTATATTTCGTATTATTTTTATTTATTTATATATACATAGATATATATACAATTTCATTCTAAGTGTATTTTGATATAAATATATATATATTACTATCAAAATACAGTTAGAATAAAATTTCATAGAGATATATATATATTTTTAATTTTTTTATTATTTTTACATGTTTTTAATTTAAATTACTTATTATTTGTATTTTATAATAATATTTATATACAATATATATAATTATATATATTATATATATACGTGTGTAATTTAATTATAAGTGTATTTTTATATTACTATATGTACATATTAATATAAAAATACACTTAGTATGACATTATATATATGATATATAGACATATCATATATATATATATATATACACACATATATAATTATTTTTTTTTTTATTAACATTAACTTTTTTATTTTTTTTATTTTACACTAGCAGGGAAACTGCCTGTCAGCACAGGCAGTCCCCCTGCAGGCAGACACTAGGACACCTAATCCGCCGGGAGGAGACTGTCTGGGCTGCAGGCAGTCTCCCCACACCAGGAACAACGCCGATTGCCGCCGAGGGAACAACGCCAATCGGGTAAGTACATTGCACCATTAGGACCGTTCAGGACCGTCACCGGTCGGCAATGCAAAAATGCTGATGACGGTCCTGAACCGTCCTCGGTCCTGAAGGGGTTAAAGGGAATGTAGAAACAAAAATATATACACACTAACATGAATAAATAAATAAGTAAAAAAGCGTGTAATCTCAGGTGTCCCTCACACTCACCAAGTATAATACAAAAATCTGGAAAAGTAGGATATTGAAACATCCTAGAAGTCACTGGGATCTATTAGAATCAATACTACAACATAGCATAATACTGTATAAATAATATGTAATGTGATAATGTGAAGTATACGGATATCCCTGAGAAGTCCAAGTTGCAGGGCGAAACGCGTTGGATACACTAAGGACTTACATACTTTTATTTGTTTTTATTTATTTTTTACTTTGGTTTATCTCCATTTATGCCTAGTTTCCAGTACCACGCTTCCATCTAAGGTCCACTACACGTGGAGATATGCCCATTGTCCACATTGGTCTGTAAGGGCATTCTAATAAATTTCTTTTGTGTTTTTACTGTACTTCACCGTTGCGGCTTTTACTTTTCTCCATATGCATTATTGGAAGACTCCATTTATGAGCGACATCTTGCAACTACACCTGTGTGTACCCCTGGGAGGGTGACAAGCCTGAATTTCCATATGTTTGTGAGGTTTGTTTTATATACTTCACATTACATATTATTTATACAGTATTATGCTATGTTGTATTATTAATTTTTATACATCCCAGTGACTTCTAGGATCTTTCAATATGCTACCTTTCCCAGGTGGTTATAATTCTTTTTATACGTATTGGTGTTTTCCCACTTTTTTGTATTTAATTTAAAGGGACACTATAGTCACCAGAACAACTACAGCTTAATGTATTGGTTCTGGTTGATGTAGTCAGTCCCTGCAGGCATTTTAATGTAAATGCAGCCTTTTCAGAGAATAGGCAGTGTTATCATTGCGGCTTAGGGACACCTGCAGTGACAGTCACCCAGACAGCCACTTAGAGGTACTGCGTCTCACTGAATGTTCCCTATAGAGATGCATTGATTCAATGCATCTCACTGAGGAGATGCTGATTGGAACAGCATTTTGCCGCACATGCGCATTAGCCTCACAATGCTTTCCTATGATAAAGCATTGAATTGGCTAAGATCATCAAATTTGATGATCTCAGCCAAGTGGTGGGGTCAGCTGCGAGGAGACCGGTGCGTTGCTGGGAAAAAGGTAGTAAAACATCTTTTTAACGGGTGACAATGGGGCCGGTAACCTAAGAAGCTATTCAAATGTATAGTGTCAGGAATACGTTTGCATTCCTGATACTATAGTGTTCCTATACCCAATTAAAGGTAATAAAGAATATGTTAAAAATAAATATGACATAATGTGAATATTGTTTATGTAAGAAGGAGTATGTGAACTATTAATGTGAAGTATAAAAGTTATACACTAAAAAACACGGCACCTGAGCAGATCGGTCGTGCTGAAAAGGGGAATGTTACTTACCTGGATCGTGGCGGATTGCCGCGTGATCATCTTCCCCGACGGTTCCCAGCCAGTACGGTGTTCTAAGGGGCAGCGGCCGCTGCATTCCCGATTTATATAAAGTAATCCCTATTGCCCATAACAAAGATGGCGCCAACGTGCGAGTGACTTAACGTCATCGATGCACACACACGTTTTGGTGTTAAAAGTCACGTACAAATCAATCACTACACAGAGAGGCATATATAAATCCTGAAAAGCCTTTTCTCAGTTCCATGCTGGGGTTTCCACTTGGTGGCTGTCAGCAGCAGTGTTAATTTTATCGACTAACAATTTTAGTTGACTAAAATCTTTGAGATTTAATCGACTAAAAATAGACTAAAGCTAAAACAATTCAGATTACTAAAATACGACTAAAACTAAAATGGGATTTTAGTCAAAAGACTATGACTAAAGCTAAATTGAAATTTGCTGTCAAAATTAACACTACACAGAGAGGCAGTGGAAGGGGCAAAAGAGACAGACCACAGCTTGGGTAAGAGATACCTAGAGGGGCTGGGAGGACAGAAAGAGACACAGAGGGGCTGGGAAAGGGACAAAAGACACAGATAGAGGCTTTAACTAAACCTATTAGATTTTAGTCGTGTTGACTAGAATATACTGGAGATTTAGTTGACTACAACTAGACTAAAACTAAAACAATTCAGATTACTTAAAGGGACACTATAGTCACAGAACAACTACAGCTTATTGCATTTGTTCTGGTGAGTAGAATCATTTCCTTCAGGCTTTTTGCTGTAAAAACTGTCTTTTCAGAGAAAAAGCAGTGTTTACATTACAGCCTAGATAACTTCACTGGCCACTCCCAGTGGTGTATCCTGGTTTTGTGCTGCCCTAGGCAGGACAAAACTCAGGCACCCCCCCGCGCCACCCCCACCCGCGCCACCGCCACCCAACCTTCCCCCCTGCTCCGCCTTCTAAATACACACACACACATTCACTGACAGATACGCATTCACTAGCTAACAGAAACACACAGTCACTAACAGACACACTCACACACTCACTAACAGACACACACTCACAGGCAAACACACACACACACTAACAGGCAAACACACACACTAACAGACATCCACACTAACAGACACACATACACTAACATACATACACTAACATTAACATACACACTAACACTAACAGACACACACACTAACATACACACACTAACAGACAAACTAACATACACACTAACATACACACACACACTAACATACACACACTAACACACACACACACACACTAACATACACACACACACACACAC